CCAACCCTGGCAGTGTTCACAGCCAGGTTGGCTAAAGCCTTGAGCAACCTGCTCTGGTGGGAGGTGTCCCTGCCCAGGGCAGGGGGTTGGGGCTGGATGAGCTCTAAGGTCCATTCCAACCCCTTACCAATCTATGACTCTATGAATCCTATTGTGGAACAGTGTAGGATACCAGACCTCACCATTTAGAGCAGTGTTTATCACCTGAGAGCCCTAATGGAGCTGCCTCATGGGCAGGTCCTTACCTGGCATGTAGTGCCTCTGTCACATTAACTTTGGAAGTTTCAGAGAGGGTTCAGCTGTGCAGACAGGTTTGATAAAGGGCTCTAGAGAAGACCTAAGGAATTAAAGCCCAGTAAATCTGACATCTTCCTGCAGACTAGGGAGCTGTAATGTAAACAGGTTGAACAGAAACAGATAAATACAACATCTTTTGTTGACAGAAGCCATTTCTCACATGTCTTGTTCAGTCCTTTGGAAGAGCCAGTGGATACATGGACTAGATTCAGCCAGTGAATGTATTCCCTGCCCATCTTTTCAAAAAAGCCAAAAGTTTCTTCGCAAGGACACTATAAACCACTGAGGTGTTGGAGCAAGAGAGGCATTGCTCTGAGGGCTGGTAACAGGTTAAAATACAAATATAAAGAGTGGCTATAAATGAACAGCTTTTTCCTTCTTCAGTTTTTTAAAAAAAGGATGTTCCCACAGTGAATCTGCTGTGGCATCAGCATTTAGCATATTCCTGAGTGATACAGTAATAGGCATAGTAATATTGTGTTGCTTAAGCTGCTTAAGTGTTCTGTGACAATCAAAGCATTAAGCAGAGCCTGAGGCCTCTGGAGCTAACAGAGAACAGTTACACAAGTATTTGGCTGTGCTGGTTCACTGCTCAGAGAAGTATCAGGTGAAACTGAAAGTCACGAAATGTGAAATTGAGATTGAGATTAGATATTAGGAAGAATTTCCTCCCTGTTAGGGTGTCCAGGCACTGGAATATTGCCCAGGGAGGTGATGGAGTCACCATCCCTGGAGGTGTTTAAGAGGTGTCTGGATCTGGTGCTGGAGGATCTGGTTTAGGGTTTAGGGGTTCCAGCAGTGACAGGTTAATGGTTGGACTTGATAAACTTAGAGGTCTCCTCCAGTCTTGATGGTTCTATGATTCTAAACTAATAGACACTGGAGAAAACATCCACATTGTAAGCAAAAACTGACTCACAGTGCTCAGCTGAAATTCATGGCAGTGATTGTTGGAAGACAGAGATGCTGCTGGACTGGTATCCCTGGACATCTTTGCTGCTCTCTGCCTGAGCAGCTGTTTTGGGAACATGGGTTTTGGCTTGGGCAGTGTCTGCTCTGTTCCAGCCACTCCAGCAGCAGCAGGAAAATGTTCAAAAGGATCCTTGAATGTTGTTCAGCTGTTTCTGAGCACAAGACACATGGACAGCCATGTGTGACCCTGGGCCTCCCTGGGCACATTCATGTGGCTGTAGGGGGACAGGCAGAGACAGGAGGCAGGGTCTGAAGGGAACTCAGGGGATGTGGGCTGCCCCAGCAGCAGCTCCTGTCTCACCTGCTCTGCTCTGTGTTCCACAGAAGCTGCACATCCCAAGCTCTCTCCTGGAGCCTGCCTCAAGGATGGATAAATGGGTGAGCTGACAACCTTGCAACCAGTGGGAGGGAGGGACCAACAGATACATTTGGGACATTTATCTGTAAGATTATCACAGGATAGGCCAAGTGTGTAAGAGAAATATAGAACATGAAACACTGAGACCCTTGAGCAAAGACCAAGTGCTCTTGAACAGGAACAACAGAAGAGTTAAGAGCAGGAAAAAAGCCTTTTTATATATATGCATTGGATCTCTTTACATCAAAATCTGTGTGTTTGGACATCTAGCCAAGCCATAGTGGCTGTACCACAACCTGATCTAGTTGTTGTTATTCCTTGCCTGCCACGGGCTGATGGAGCACACAAAAGGAGCAGCTGTCCCTGCTCTCCTGCCCCACTGCAACTTGTTAAACTACTGGAATTTGAGGCACAGGTTTATCCAGCCTCCTCCCAGATGGCTACAGCCCCCAGATATACCAGGGCAGTGGGTGAGGAATGCTCACATGTTCTGGTTCACCAGCACAGTGAGAGTAGCAGAATGTGCTGCAGTGGGACAGGAATGGCTCAAACATGCTCTGCTTTCTGCCCTGAGGCCAAGTGCCTGAGCCCTAGACCCTCACCTTTGACTTGGGAAAACTTCATCTCCCATCTCCACCACAGGCATATCCACATTATCCCAATCATTTGCCATGTGAACCCAGTGCAGAAAGAGCAACTCAGACCTCTGTTTCCTGTGAGGGATTTTTGATGACTGTTCTGATGCTGCTATGATTTTTAGTTACTACATTTTCCCCTCCCAATGAATCCCTGGCCACAGCTCACAGCACTAGCCCCATGGATGTCTCACTGTGAACCAGTCCAAGCTGGGAAGAGCGCTCAGCACAGTGTGAGCAGCCTCCCTCTGCTCCAGCACCAACCCAACAAGGGGCAGGGTGCAAGGAAGTGTCCTGCAAACCTCTTCTCACCCCTGCTGCCCACAGGAGACCATCAAAATCCTGAGTGCTCTGCCTCATCCAACCATTAACACTAGTGATGTTCCCCAGGGCTCAGCACTGGGGCAGGTCCTGTTTAACATCTTTATTGCTGATCTGGACATGGGATGGGGATTGAGTCCACCCTCAGGACATTTGCAGAT